ATCATTTAGTGTGAATTAAATTTTATTTAAATTTCTTCAAAGATAATTTACCAGAATATGTGCATAAAATCATATTTAATATTAAACATATGTATCAAATTTTTTAAATTCAAAGAATTATTTATCTTTACACTTTACATTTTAGGGGCAAGCATACAAATTCTACTATTTTAAAAATGCATGGTTTCAAATACATGAAAGTTGTAGGACAAGACAGTTTGAGACATTTTACAGACCCTAGAAATAGACAACAGTAATAATATAAGAAAAAAGGTGCCACTTTTAGTGACCCTGGACCTGTGTTGTCCACCTCTCTGTTCAAAGAAACATTTAAATGGGCCGCTGCTTGCACATGTAATGGTTCTTGATTCCACAGAGTTCGGAAGTAGTCACTTTTCTGGGACTATATGCTATGCAGTACCCTGGACTTGGAGTTGGAAGCAATGGGAGTCTGTAATGAAGAAGAAAATATTAACATATGGAAAAAAGGAATGAGAATGTTCAGGGATACTTATTTTATTAAATGATAGAACTTTTTAAAACATTTGAGTGAGATAAAATCTGGGTTTTTTCTTTCAATAATCAGAATTTTTATGATTTTAGAGTACAGTACTACACAAAACTAAATCCTTATTCTCTCAGTAATCAATAATGTCCATGGCAGAGATTTTGTTTGTTTTGTTTTGTTTTTTGTTGCTGTTGTCCATTTTGTTTATGAAGTATATGTGATCTGATCTACAGCAAAAAGCCCGAGCACAAATTTGCCATTGTATAATTCTGCAAATCTCATCCTTATTAAAGAAAATGAGATGCAAATATTACAAAAATACATATAAAAAGCAGAAGATATTTGAAACATGGAAGATGCTCAGAACATTGAGCTCTAGCAGGATAAAGAAAATGAGGGCCAGGGATATAGCTCAGTGGCACCACACCTGCCTGGCAAGCACAAGGTCCTGAGTTCAATTCCTGATACAAAAAAATAAAAATAAAAAGATAAAGAAAATGATAGATATAGTATTTTTTCTGAATCACCTTTGTGTATGTGAGCATGTGTATATGTATATATGCTTTCAAATGCTTGCACAAAAGTGAAAATAAGACATAAGTCAGAGTTCTTATAAGGTCACAAGTACACTAACTTTCATTTCACTTGGATGTGCTAGATTGAGCCGTGATTCTTATTCTTACGTGTCTATTTTTTATGTTTTCTCATGCCCCACACAGGATTTTTTTTAGCTATGAAACCCCTGGATGTGACTTTCATGAGGAGAAAAAAAAATTCTAAAAGAGAAAAAATGTAAAAGGCCAGAAGCTCACAGATTCTGGGAGAGAGCTGAGCCATCTTCCCACAACCAGGCAGCGCATTCTTTGGCAGAAGAGAGACCCATCCAGTAAAATTTAGGATTGGTGTTCATGAAAACCTGCTTGGAAACAGAGACAAACAAATTTAAAGCTATTCTACGAATAAAGTGTTTTAAAGGAAGTTAGTGTTCAGGATACGATTCAGCCTGTCCATCACATAAACTGATCACATTTCTAACTTAAAAGCTATAGGGCTGTGCCTTAGATTTTTCATTGATTAGGCCTATTCTTTTATGGAGAAAAAAATACTGTAAAATCTCACTTTTTGAAAGAATAAAATACATCATAAAGGTAGTTAGAATTTTCATGGAACACTTCTTCATGAGAGAGAAATGGCCAAATTCAATCCTCTCTGAACAGTATTGTGAAAGATAAACTTTATGAACATGGTTTTCTCAACCTATACTCAGCATAAATGCTTCAAGCACATGGAGATAAGACTTTGGTAATTTTTCTGATCATATGCTCCATTACTGGTCTATATTATATCTCAGAAAGATAACAAAAGCTACATAATTACAAAACAAATTATAAATTCTACTAGAACTAAAAATTACAGTCACTTGTTTCTTTGACTAAAATTAGTAAAAATAATGACATATTACAGCTTTTTTGAATTGTCCCTGAGAAGGTTCTTATATTTTACCTGGTATCTATCTAATAGATTTTTATGCCTAAGGGGTAAATATCTGAAGAATTTTATGGAATTTTTATAATGATTATCTCAAAGAATCTGAAATTGATAGATCACATTTATTTTCTACCTGAGTGAAAACTTGATTCAAAGTAATCACCTTATTTAGACATCATTTTTTAGAGGGCAAATAAAATATAGAAAATAGGAATTAAGTACATGCCAATTCATCACTGTTTTGGAGCTGAAGAAGACTGGAATTGTGAGAAGCACAAAGCTGACTACTTTCTTCCCAAGTTTTTCTTTCATCAGAAATGAAGTAACAGTTGCACTGATAGCCAATCCACTTTTCTTGGCATGAACAGCAGTCGGATACTAAGAGAAAAA